AAAAAGAAAATTCATTCTACTTTTGTTTTAGGCAAATGTATCCTTGGTAGGCAAACTGCGAGAAAGAGGGCCATTAAAAAAGCTATAAAACATAATTTTGGTTTATAATTTTTGTGCGTAAGCCAATACTTGACTGAAATGAATTATGGGTATTTTTTGGGGAAACAAAAGATTAAAACGGCTGGGGGGTGGGGGTCCGTGTTTTATGCCGTGCCAGCAAATATTTTGAACGCTATCCCTGATATAATGGTCCTGCAATGTCTCTTTTGATTTAAAACTGTAGAGGAATTTTTAACATATATTTGTAACAAGTAATTTAAAAACAAAAGTTTTAAAGACAATCTTTTATTAGTAAAACTCGATCACCACAACACCTAACGACTAAATATCTTGGGGAATTATTTCATTCCATTTAAGTAATACATGTTGTATATATCAAATAAATCGGACTGTAAATGCGGATTTTCAAATACATATCTCGACTTCTGAGCCACCTATAGAAGCAAAATTTTCTTGGAGTTTTTCCTTTTCATGTAAATATTATACGTTCTAAACCCTATCATAACATAAATACGGATTTTTCAAATATCTCGACACAAAAAATGGACAAATAAATATTGCAGAATACTTTTGGGTGCACTATTTACTAACTGAACAGACCCTTTTATTCACTTCTAGGGTGAATGACTTTTTAAATTGATTGTGATTCTACGTTGTTGTTTTGTTTGGCTTAATATAAAACAAATTTTTTAAGAGGAGTTAGTTTCTTTGAGTATCCTATTACAGCCCGTTTCACACTTAGAAAGGCACAAAAGGCAGGTACGGCAATTTACTTCCTAGTGAATTTCAACCCCATTAAATTTTAATTCAAAATTACTTTGGTAAATTCTAGAACTTGCCTGATAGACAAGTTTTACCAAAACATCTTTTTGCCACTTTATTTTAATAATTTTTTATAACAGTATAGTTTATTCTTCACCAAATACCGAATAAATCCAAGTTTCAAACTTTGTGCAATATTTAAAAAAATCAACAAATTTTCGTAAAAATGTCGAGATTTATAAATAGATTTCTTAGAAATATTTTGAGTACGCACTTTTGTAGGCAATTCAATTTTAGTATAAAGTGCAAGCTGGAAGTAGCTAGAACTTACTGTCGATTTTTGATTTTTTTTTGTTAACAGTGTCAGCCATTTTCTTCCATGCGAAGTGTGATCGATGATTCTCTTATATGAAGAAACTGAGCAACATCTTCAACAAAAAAAAATAAATTGTATATATTCTGATTTTCAAAGTCCAACCAATAATATTTACATACTCATTTTAAATAAAATCGACTCAAAAACATTAAACATCCTTTGCTTTGGTATTATTGAACTCGATTCAATGGAATGTGGGTGAAAGCTAAGCCTTGTATTTTTTATTATTTCCTAGGCGTAGACTTCATATTTAAGAAGCAAGCATGAACAAATAAAATCTTAATTAAGCTGCTTGAATTGAAATCTGTTCGAGCAAAGACAACAGCAATACAGGGAGAGCGATAGCTGTGTGAGACGAAATCGGCAGGCGGATGAGATTGCTGACAGAGTCAAGCTGTGCAAATCTGCCTTGCTGTTTCATTGCAAATAAAGCTAATTATGATTGCTAAAAATACAACGCTACATACAATACGTTCCACTAAACCTATACAGGCTTGAAGAAGGCTGCAACGACTGCAATTAAAATGACAAAAATAAAAGCGAAAAGTAAAGCAGCTTAGACAGTGAAGGGAAGAACTGTATATACGCAAAACCAAATTGTGCTGGTGTAATTTACTGCGACTAGAGATGGGGTAGATTTTCTCTGAACGCTTATCACAATTCGCTTTATGTTCATGCAGTGTGCGTGATTCTGAAGCATTAGCTAACGCAAAGAATTTTTGCAAACTCACTGTAATTCCCTCAGTTACATAATTAATTTTTGCTTTTTTATTTCAAACAACTTACGAAAACATTTTTTTTAATTTTCTCTCAATCGTAAATATCATAAAATGAAAATCACTGCACTGCGCCACAACGCACGCATGCAAACATTCTCACACATACCAACATACGGAACGGAGTTGTTCTGCGAGCGATTTATTTACGCGCCAAAATCGTGCGTTGCAAACAATTTTTTTGTCTGCTGTAGAAGCTCTCGTTTGTTTCACATTGCTAGCGAAGTACTCTTCCAACAATTGTTTTTTTTTTTTTTGTATATATATTAACATGCAGGCTGCTGTGTGTATGCCATTGCGGCAATGGTGCTCGTGAGCTTGTACAAGGAATTTAATGAATTTTAAAAAAGTTTGGCAGCCCAGCTGTTGGCACACCACACCACATTACTGCGAGCTACGAGAAAGCTTCAGTTCTGTTTATTGTTTTTTTTTTTTTTTTTTTTTTT